GGTAGATGTTGTCCCATTTACATATTTTTTATTTTTTCACCAGTTCCAGGCTCTTCTCGATTTAACAATTGAAATTATTAAATAGAAAGCACATAATCCGAATGGGATTTTCTATCCGAAATTTTGCTTACCATTAGCACAATTTCAAACCGGATGGGTTTTCCATGTAAATGGTAAACAACCAAAGTTTCTGGATATGATGTCATTAGGTGAATTGCAAATTAGTTTTCCTTTGTTTTTTGTACCGAAAACTCGCCTAATAACATCGTATCTGGAACTTTGACAGTGAAAAAGAGATTTTTTTTCAAAAAGGTACATTATTTAATTATTATTTATTATTATTTAAAAATATTTAACAACGGTAGCCCTATCAGTTATAGTTAAAAACTGTTTTCCAAGGGGCCGTTCACACGTATATACGTATATACACACACATACACATATATATATATATATATATATATATATATATATATATATATATATATATATATATATATATATATATATATATATATATATATATATATATATATATATATATATATATATATATATATATATATATATATATATATATAATATATGTATATATGTATGTGTATGTGTGTGTATATACGTATATACGTGTGAACGGCCCCTTGGAAAACAGTTTTTAACTATAACTGATAGGGCTACCGTTGTTAAATATTTTTAAATAATAATAAATAATAATTAAATAATGTACCTTTTTGAAAAAAAATCTCTTTTTCACTGTCAAAGTTCCAGATACGATGTTATTAGGCGAGTTTTCGGTACAAAAAACAAAGGAAAACTAATTTGCAATTCACCTAATGACATCATATCCAGAAACTTTGGTTGTTTACCATTTACATGGAAAACCCATCCGGTTTGAAATTGTGCTAATGGTAAGCAAAATTTCGGATAGAAAATCCCATTCGGATTATGTGCTTTCTATTTAATAATTTCAATTGTTAAATCGAGAAGAGCCTGGAACTGGTGAAAAAATAAAAAATATGTAAATGGGACAACATCTACCGGTTAAAACGTTCCAATCGGTAAGAGAGGTTTTTTATTTTTTCACCAGTTCCAGGCTCTTCTCGATTTAACAATTGAAATTATTAAGTACTTACTTGTAATAACAGTTGCCTGAAGATTGCGAAATTGCATGAAACTCTGAGTAGCAACATGTACCATTTTTAAGATTAAATAATATATATATATATATATATATATATATATATATATATATATATATATATATATATATATATATATATATATATATATATATATATATACAAAAGAAACTTAAACTACAAACTACTACTAATTACTATAATAACTATTTACAAGAATATTTTAATGATTTCAAAATATCATATGGAAACTAATCTGCGCCCCCAACAATAGCTCTAAACCTCTTTATGCCTATTGACTTACTCTTAAGATCATTTGTGAGATCATTCCAACATTTTGCACCAGAGTAACTAATGCTTTTTTTCAAGAAATTTGTATTTGGCTTGTCTAACGTAAAGTTGTTTAAATTGCTTCTTAAAGAGTAATTTTGATTATCACAAATATTAAACAAATTTCCTATTGAATCAGATGCGATCCCATTTTTGACCTTGTACATTAATAATGCTTTTTTGTTACGTCTGCGCTCTTCCAACGTTTCCCAGTTGAGTTGGCGCAGTAACTCCTTTGAAGGAGCATCGTAACTGCTCCCTGTTAAAATTCTAGCCGCTCTATTTTGCATTTCTATTTTGCATTTTTCACATTTCTTCTCAGAACGACCCAAATATTACATATAAATTCATATACACCATAAATTTCAAACCAAAACTATATTTGGGATTAGTTGCATTTTAAATAAAATACAGATGTAGCGTTGGGAAAGCATTGAGAACAGCTAACTCAAGGTCGCATATTGCATATTGCATGCAATTTGTTTCTGAACTACCTGGAAATAACGTAATAACTCTTCGGAGTTTCACACGAAGTCCCTGTGCCAATAAGCTAGTCAACGCCCATGAGAATACTGGATTTTACATATGAGCGCGCTCATGCGCATACCAGATTGCGGTATATGTATATGAGCACGCCCTGCATGAATAGAGAGTTTGAGCAAGACAACGAAGTACGAAGACGAAGGCATACTTGACAATTTTGGCCGTCTGTACATTTATCTTGCGCATACTGAGTTGGACGTCACTGGTGGTTGCACAACGTGTCTTCCCATGTGTCGCTGTTTATGAATACTGACCATAATTCTTGCCCTGATCCAGAAAAAGACAGCGAGACATGAAACTATATCCCGTCTTTGTCCTTCTGCCTTCGTGCAGAACGAAGTTCACAACGAATTTTGCCAAAATATTCAGTTGTGAACGAAGGCAGAAGACGAAGACGGGATATGGATTCATGTCTCGCTGTTTTATCCTGATCAGGGTAAGGATTTGGGTCAGCATTCACAAATAGCTAGACATGAATCTCTAATCTGTCTTCACTCCTGACCCTAAATTCAGAATGCGCAAGGTAATCAGAAACCTTCATAGATTATAATAACTACCTACCAAAAATTCCAATTAACTTCGAAGCAGTTCTACTAACTTTCAGACTAAGGACCTTCGACTTCGCTCGAAAAGTCGATTTTTTTATATTTTTACGGTTGTTGTACACAACTACAAAACTTCGCAATTTGGCACCCTTTAATTTAGCTACACTAGACTCCACGTTTGAAATATAGTTCGTCGAAATATTTCGCTTGATTTATTGTGACCATAGGAATAAATCAACTCTACTTCAACGCTCACAATTTCGACATTTTATCCAGCTTTACGATAGAACACAGTTTTCTGATTGGCTCATTAAATCAAAACGCTGATCCACAAGACATTAATAGGACATTCTGATCACTCTACAGCCGTACAGGTATCCTATAAAAGTTCCCCTGTACAGTAAGTTTTATGTTTAAATGCGACAAACCCGCTCCAACTGGGGAGACGTGCAATGGGTTCCTCGGATTTCGGAGGGCGCAACCGGCACGCAAACAACTGGGGGGACGATCCCCACAGGGTGTAACATGCGATCTACGTACAGTATGCATGGCAGATGAGCAGACTATCTTTTGTTTAAACGTTATTTCAATTTCTAAAGGTCTCCTTTTTCTAATATATGCACCCCATCAATATTTCACGCACTATACGGTTCAGCATATGTGCAATTGAAAGAAGGCATTTAAATTTTAACAATATGGTTGATTTCTAAAGGTCTCCTTTTTTTTATATACCCTGTATACCTCTGGGAAATTAAAATAGCTTCTAAAACGAACAGCAGCTGACTACAGAGCAGCGAGTATTTGTCGTAACAACTTACAGTATACGTTAATTATTTGGACGAAGAAAAGTTGTAAATATTGCGCCGTGCATGTACAATTAAATTAATTTAAATCCCCAAAGGTATAACAACGCACAAGATGGGGATTTCTTTTTGGGACACCCATGTGGATCGTAGCGGCATGCCACATCATTGTTATGATAATGCACCTATCAATGTTAACCTCCAGAGGGGGGGGGGGCATATGTGGGGTATTTGATCATCAATTGCATCCCCACCCTGGGGATGTTGATTAGCATTTTGGCCCTGAGTTGGGGCAATTTGAACCAAATGACTGTTATTAATATAGTATTTATTGCAATTTATTGCAAAATGGTGGGGCATTTGACCAATATTTATTGCCCGACGGTGGGGCATTTGACTGAAAATTTGCTCAAAAAATCAAATGCCCCACCTATGCGCGACCCTCCCCCCCTCTGGGGCTTAACATTGATAGGTGCATAAGCGTTATGCATAGTCTAATGCTAATCTTTTTCAAGTAGAGAGATGTTTTGCAAATTTAAAAGCTGGTTAACACTAAGGGACGTTTCCTTGTAAAAGTGAAAATCACTTTCAATTAGATAGAATTTATACAGAAACATTTAATAGTGTGAAAAAAATAAGTGTGAAATTATATACAATTCAAATTTTATTTATATTATCATACAACAAAAATAAATAGCTATTATAAACTAAGTTATTCTTTTCTTTCACATATTAAATACTAACTAAAGGTATTCACATTGTATTAAGGATTTAAGCATTCAGTTCAATGGTCTGGAAACCAGCCAAAATACAAAGCTACAAAATAGACGTTTGTTTCATGTTGAACTGTGCATAAATCATTTGCTTTAACTCATTAAATATTACTCATTGTGGTTGTACGTTTCATCTCTGCTATCCCTATTGGAAGATTGGTCATTACTGTGCACAAATTAACATAAATTTAAACAAAAACATGATACAATGATTTCTGTTAGTTTCCCAACCATCATGTCTTGATTATACACATTTCCTCTATTTCTCCCCCTGGGGCTTAGTTTTTCCTGTGGCTAACTAGAAGCTGGGGACTAAATAAATTATCACGTTCTTTAAATAATTATTAATTTACGAAGTCGTGTTTGAAGAAACATTCAGAAAAAATATCCTACAATTTCCTCTCAAAAAATCATACTCTCTTTGTTATTTTTTACTGGGAGCGTATTAAGGCCGAATTACACCACACAACGCTTGTCTAAAACTGTCGCATGCAACCTGCTCACAACTTGAGTTGTACTGTGTAAATCAAACACACAAGTCGCCGAAGAAAACATAGGCAAGTTATGTGCTTACTGCTTGCAGTACAACTCAAGTGTAAACATGTTGCATGCGACAGTTTTAGGACAAACGTTGTGTACTGTAAATCGGCCTTTAGAGGAAACATCATGGTAATACGTAAGAAAAGAAATTATTTTGTCTTTTTGTGGCTAACTTCCAGGTTCATTTTCAATACGATGTTTAATCCAGTTTCACTATCAGATCAGTGGATAAACCTAAGAATGTCGAGAAATCCTGGAGGCAAATCTTCACTTATATATTAGTGCTATTTAACACATTCTTACTATGCGCTCTATTTTTAGCATATTTTACATATGTGGTAAAGGCGGATTCGCTTTCGTCCGAACGAATTTCGATAAAGTTTGCGGTTTGGCAACCTTTTTAATTCTCTTCGCTTGTGATGGCATCAACACGGTTGAGTGTCCACCCAAGCCATTATAACCGGTGCTTAGACGTCCTGGGTTTCCTAAACTGACATAAGAACGTTTTCTGTTCTTTTGTAAGGCGCCAGGATGAACGGGAGAAATGAAATCTGGTTTTCGTTTGTTCGATACGGAGCTAAAAATAAAATAAAGATAATAAGTCAATGTATGATCCCAGCTATAGATTAAATTTTGATCTAGGTAAGAAGAACAAACTCCATGACCTAACATTCTAATATTAATTCCACCAAACAGGCCTTAAAATATCGGTCGGTCACGGACATTGTCCGACCCATTCGTGAAATTGTCCGACGTGGAGAGGAAACCACCGGACATTCTGTCCGACCAAAGTGAAACTGAGGTTTATTGTTTGTCCGACCCAAGTGAATTGGTGTCCGACCAAACTGTAGCTTTGTCCGACGTACTATTGTATAAAAGGTGTACTGGAAATGTTGTTTTAACATAGTCGAGCGCGGGGCGGCGAGCGAAATGGTGAAGTGGAAAACGGGCTTAAGTTGTCGAAATCTTTTTTAACACTGCTGTTCTGGCAAGCGAGTTAATTTTGGCTTGGAAATAAGTATGAAAGAAATTATTTAATATCTTTACAACATTTAACGTTTATTCATTTGTGTCATTCAGACTTATTTCCGAGTCAAAACTGAACTGAAAGTCATCGGACATATGTCCGACCCAAACTCAGCGTCACCGGACATTTTGTCAGACGGCCTTGGAAAAGATATTTTAAGGCCTGCCACCAAGTGAAGTGCAAAAATCCAAATCGTTGAAGTCCACCTTATCACAACCCGCACACCCGATTACCTATATATACAGTACATGAACTTACGGTTACAGCTTAACAGCTGGCCTCTGTAGCTCAGTTGGTTAGAGCGCTGCACCGGAATCGCAGGGCCGTAGGTTCAATTCCTACCAGAGGACCTTGTGCTGCATTTTTCGCAGTCGTTCCTGGTTAGGTCTTAAAATGTATATATTCTCACTTGGATTACAAACCCTAACATCCTAATATACAGAGACCCAACGTAATGATAACTATAAGACATACGTCTCTTTTGCTTTCGCCAAGAATGGTTTCACAAGAAGCGTGGAGATAGCGTAGTAGAGAAGCAGTGGTGTTACAGTTCCATAAAATATCGCCATTGGAGATATCGAATCAGAGAGTAATAGAGGAAAAACAAAACTCTGATTCGAGCGATTTAATCTAAAGATAGAAGAAACGTGATCAGTATAGTTCATGATTTTTTTTCTGTGTTGGTGTAATGTACTGAGGTGAATATGATGCTTGTGATGTTACTCTGAGTGTATATCCACACCGGGCAAACTTGAAAAATATGCCAAGGTGGGAATCGAACCTACGATCTTTGGAATACTAGCATATATAGTATAGTTCAGTTGATATTATAGCATACATAATACAGTATAGTTCAGTTGACTGGTCGTGGTGTGAAGAGAACATGCAATTGAGTAGAGTTAGCCTGTTTTAAGTAGGTATAGTACTTTACTTACTTCAACCAAAACCTCGCTCCTAACGAAGGGCCTTCGCTCAAACCGTGGAAGTTGTGTTTACATTTTTTCAGGTAGTTGTTTTTCCTTGACACCACAGCCGTTTGTCATCGTCTCTACCTCCGCTGACCGAGATTTGATTGAAATGCCTTATCAAAGCCTTGGAGAGTGGGCGTTTATCAGATAATTTACCGTACCTTGAATGTCGTCTTCAATTCACCGAGAAAACAACGAACGATTGCAAGCCAACATATTACAATACTCAAGTGTAGTACAGAGACAATGTATATATTACCTGATTTTTAACACAACTCCATTTAGACTACCGATAGTTATACTAGCACCCAGGTTACTGTGCTCAGATATCTTTCTGTCAGCGCCATAGCTCAACTGTGACTCTAGCAAACCAAATCTGTGATGGGGAAAGAAAATATACACTAGATACAAACATCATACATAGAAATATAAACTAGCGTGCAATAAGAATGGTATGAATGAGACTTCACTTACTTTATTCCAGTGCGTAACCTTGTATCCACGTCTATCTTGTATTGATATGTCAGCGACGCAAAACAATTCTTAACTCCGAGCTACAAGAAGAAAATCATGAGTAAGCCTCGTCCACAAATTTTTGTGATAATTTTTCTATGACAATTATTATTTGTTTGTGTACACGAGAGATTTGGCTAAATGTTATGTGGAAAACTGGCGTTCCAGTTTCTATGTGACAAAGAATAACTGACAATTACGAACGTTTGTTCGTGTGTATAAGTCACCACAGAAATTGTGACATATAAGACATCGCGCTTTGTTTTGTGCGTGTTATCACTGTTCAAAGCAACAACCAAAACATTGTATCATCCACACAAGCAAACATCGCGGAGACATTTGAGCGCTACATCCGATCTCCATACCTACCTGAAGTCCAAGTTGCAATCTTGAATTATCACTTTCCTTCACAAAAGAGCTTTCCATGGAGGATCCCGACCCACCTTTCCACGTGATATAGCCAGTTGTATGGCTACCTAGTTGCCTAGCAACCACTAAAATAGATAAGTAGCAGTTTGGTTAGAGCACTGCACCGGAATCGCCCACAGAGGACCCATAGTTGCATTTTTCACAACTGCGCCTGGTTAGGTGGTAAATGTATAAAGTTTACTACAAAAGCCTTCTACAGAAACAGATGCCCTGCTGTAGAGGTAGGAGACATGCACATGTATTAACTACACTGCCATCAGTTCACTAAGAATCAGGCCACGCGATCTAGTTCAATACCGTAAGATCCCAAAAGTAGCCACGCCCTCGAAAGTAGGTGACAACATACTTGCTTGAACGCCAGCTCCAATCCCACGGGTTTGTTTATGAAAGACCAATCCCAAATTACCATAACTTGACAAGAAATATGCACAACATTGATAAGTTTTAAATTGATAAGTTGTAATTTTTGAAATAACATTTCACACCTGCACGTTGTGAGATTTCGAAACGCTCTTAACTGCAACGTGGGTCCGTTACCTGCGGCAAATTCAATCTAAAGGGAAAATTTAATTTTTAATCGATTTCGAATGGTCGATGCCACGGTATAGGCAGAGACAATATACAGTACAACTACCTAAAAATATGAGGAGAACTTCGTCGGGTAGTTGGATGGGCCAAACGAAGGGCCTGTAGTTAACTTGAACTGAAAACACAGTCACTATCATTTGTCAATGTTAGTAAACAATTTCTGCTCAGAAACATTTCTTGTCTCGAGTATTTCCAAGAATGGTTTCGATCTACAGCTTTGTTTGAGATCCAAGAATTTCTAGTTTTCTCCATATTGTCCCCAGGCCTGGATGGCGACAGTGGCGTCAAAGGAATTTCTACTCACCTCCGCCCAGGAGAAGGTCGACACCACACGTCTCCACGCAGCTGACACGTGACCAATACCGTTGCCATTTTGAACTGTGAGGTTGCCACTTAACGTCATTGTGTCACTTGTAGTTAATGGCGCCTAAAGATTGTTCTAACTTAGGTTACTGAATGAATACGTTTTAGAAAACCAAACAACAGCACCCTTAGCCCAAAGACTTTAGCATCACTATAAAGATTATGTGTTACCTCTATAGATTGATTGATTACCATTTTAGTGACCTCAACGTTTGGCATTGCCCTAAAAAACACATAGTGACAGTTTTTATCATTTTTCAGTTCATATACGTATGGCTTAAACGCACCGTATCGCTAATCAAGACAAGTTCTGAGTTCATAAAACCAGTTTTGTCAAAACACGAAATTTTGGCACAATCTTTGCAGACCGCGCAGGCAAAAACAAGAGAAAGGGACCGAAACCGACGTCCAATAGTGGCTTTACTTTTTGGACTCGCTCCAGATAAAAAATGGAGCTCATTGGTAATGCCATACAATGTTATTTGAGGAAACTGTTGAGCGTTGATGAGTTCTATTTCATTCTTTTAATCCACGTTTCATTGTTCACACATACCGATCATTATAATCATCATATGGTTCAAAAAGATCTGTTCCATCAACACCAACAACAAAATTTCCCTAAATTCAAATACAACAGTGGTAAGTAAGTGGCTTTATTTCTATTCAATCTTTGTTTCTGTTGTCTGCACCTTTATGCCGTTGTTACTCATTGGACAAACAGGACAATTAAATAAAAAAACATCATTAAACCTTCGGGTTTGTTCTTCTGTGCAATCTTTCTTCTTCTTTTTGTCGTTGAAGTCGTTCATATTCTTCTTGAATCTTTGAAAAAATTATACTATACATGCTTTTTCAATGCGGTTGCAGTTATACCTGGCAATGCTAGTTTTTCTGGTCATTTAATGTTGCTTACTTTCAATCTAATCTGACACTAAAGATGGCATCATTATCATTAAAACTTGTTTATTTGAGATGTTTATGAAACCAGAACCAATTTTTTTGTCAGGTCTTATGGATGGTTATGTAAACCTGTACTGTACCTCTGCTGGGGTTCGCTGTCTTGCAATCACCTAGACATAATAATTATAAACTAGAAGTTACTATCGCAAGGAA